TGCCCCCTTTTTTTTTCCTGGTAAAAAATGTGGTCTGTAGTTAACACCATCTTTGAAAATGAAGTTCTGCAAGTGTTTGTATTGTATGCACGGTAGTGGATAGGTGGTAGCGTCACCTGACTCGTGGTTGGTATTGCCAGGTTTGATGTTTAAACCCGGCCTCCTCCCTCCCCCATCAAGACAAAGTTAAAAAAAAAAGGGTTGTACGCCGCGTGTTCATTTAGATGAAGTCCTTGGGCAGACAAAGAATTGCGACTAACAGCTGAAGAGGAGAGCTTGATGTATGTAGGTGTTCTGTGTAGCGTAGGTGTTATCTGTACTGAACATATTGCCTTGTAGTGCAATGAATTATTATTTCTATAGATTACGTTGGAAAGATTTCATGTATCTTGTGAGAAAAGGGAGAATTTTGGCTTGTCCGGTATAGGCGGAGACATCAAACAAGATTAAGTTTTACGCATCCAATGAAATCGGTCAAAGTTTGCAGTTTGTCTGTCATGTTCTGTATTTATGCTGTGGAACCCTACAGAAAATAACATGATGTGGAAAGTTTCTGAGCAGGTACATATATTTTTTGTGTTTAAAGGCAACAGGAGACGTTATTCTTAAACGGCATTTTAGGCTGATAATAATATTTTTGTACATAGTAAATGAACCATCACAAACTACTAAGGTCTTGACATTAGGAGTGGTAAAGGGGAAAAATTATCTCAATACATGACAGTCTGCCACAAGAAAAAGAAAATTCTTTAATAATAATAATAATAATAAAAGAATACACATATCTGACAGCAAACAAGCCTGAAATGAATGATGATAAGAAAATTATAATCACTGGATATGCAGTCAAAACAATCAATCTCCCGGATGCTTGTTCTCGCTTCTTTTTGACAGATTTCATAGTTCACGTTCCATCTCAGAAGATGATTCAACCATGCATTAAGAACCACAGCAAGCTGATTTTTGTGCACTTTGATCAGCCCCAGCTGCCAGGTTTGATTGATTAATCTTGATTGTCGAGGGCTGCAATAACAGAATTGAAAGTTTTTGGTGATGGCCTCTCTCAATGGTGCTAACAAACGCATATACTTTAATCTTTTGCACTAGATAAGAAGGAAATATGAATACCTCAGCCTTTGAGTCAGTGTCTGCAAGTCTTTGCTTTATGTCCTTGGCTATTGAAAAGAAAACTTCTTCTACATTTAGATTTGTTTTTGCACTCTGCAGCATGTTGTTTCTTTCAATATATAGGGCAGGACCAATACGTAATCATACATAAATAACAGAAAAATTTTACCAAAATAATCTGACAGAAACAATTGCAGGCATTGCTTACGGTTTCAAAAAACTTCATTCCATATTCATCAGCAAGAGCTTGTCCCTTGGCAGTAGGCACAGCCTGGAATGGTAAAAGGAATAGAAAAAAAATAAAAATAATAATAAATAAGGGCAAGAGAGGGAGTCATGCCCAATCTCCAGAATAGAAGAAAAGAGATTAGTGGCCTAATTACAAGCAACTGTTGCTTTTACTTGGCAAAAAGAGAAGAAATCCACAGCACCACTTGATAAAGCAACTTGTATAACAAGTCAAATGTGCAATTTAAAGCAGTATAGACACTTCTGACTCATTTCGCAAAATTCTTATATGAAGCAACATACCCTTTTGCTTCCATCCATGTCTGCCTTGTTTCCTACCAATATCTTATTGACATTATCAGATGCATGCTGTTCAATGTTGCGAATCCAATTTCTAATATCTGAAAATTTGAGAAGCAAGTCTGTATGAGATTAAATACAGAAATAAAGAAACCTTTTCTGCCTAAAAACCACAAAACTAAGCTTTAATCTCCAACTAGTCATGTAAAAGTGAAACCTCTGGTTACACGATAGAGCAAAATGTTTCAAACGGTAAACTGTAAATCACACAAAAGAAACTTAAAGTTAGATATCCAAGCTCTGATTTAAGATAACAAGACATACTGTTGAAGGATGATTCATCAGTGACATCATAGACCAGCAAGATGCCCATGGCTCCACGATAGTAAGCTGTAAAAAGATAAAAGGGGAAGATATAGTAATCATCAGACAACATTCAACCATTCATGAGTGACACCATCATACACAAATATCAAGTTATTAACATATAAATTCCACAGTAGCCTGCTAGGTGGATTTTAACAACTTCAAGATATGAAAGATAACAGCTACAAAGCTATACAACACAAAGGTCACAATCCTCCCATAAAGTCAAACAGTCTTAGTCACAACAAGTATCTGATTCCAGGCTGCTACTCCATTTACATCTAGGGGATCCCATGGTTCTAATTTGCCAGGCATTCATGTCCTGACAAGGGTTTAAATAACTGTCTTCTTCAAAGAAAAGGACCTCTACATTTTTTTTTTTTTTTATGGTGAAATACATCTGTCTGGAAATCCTCTAACATTGATACTGGAAGGGTCATACATCACCCATCATTTCAGCTTTTCTTGATTTGTGATACAAGCAACATCACCATCTAAGTTCTTTATTGAAATGCCAGATATTATGTGGAGTAGAACACTTACCAGTTGTAATTGTCCGGAACCGCTCCTGACCAGCTGTGTCCCAAATTTGGAGCTTGATCCGTTTACCGTCAAGCTCAATGGTTCGTATTTTAAAATCAATACTGCACATGGGGTGGAAGAATGACATTATAAAGTCAGAAAATCTATCTTGAAATCTAATAAGAAAAAAACAATCAGATTCCATGCTGGAATACTAACCCAATGGTGGTGATAAAACTAGTTGTGAAAGAACCATCTGAGAAACGCAAGAGGAGGCAACTCTTACCCACACCTACACAGGTAAACACGCAAATTGAATTTATCCAGACATGTTATTGAAATTCCAGAAAATACATAAACTGCAACAACAAATTTCTAATTCATGATGGCAAGACAGTTTGCCACTATGCTATCAAGCAGCAGTTTAAAAATGTTACCTCTAAAACATATGCAATACAAAACAAGGGATGCCATTTCATCCAATCTACTGCAAAATTAAAAAGTTGATAGCTAAATTCTGTAATACCAGCAATCAATCTAACTTAATTTTTTGGCAGTTTCAAAAACAATGGACTATGTGACTGTCCCTATCTCTACCTAATCGCTGTCTTTCCAACTAGAGATGAACACTTTAAATAAGCTACATCTAAGAAACTTCTCTCTGAAGCTCAATCATGGAATCAAATATTTCACAACTTAATTAAATTCAATTTTTTTCTATTTAAATTCGTGCATAGTGATTACAGCTTAATTAAGATGGAACAACAAAGGCAAATTTCAGTCAGGAAACCTACAGGCCAATGCAGTCCAGCAAACGAAATTGCACAACATATTGAACCAATAAACTAAATTTCATATGGAATACAAACTTTAGGCATTCCCAAGACAAACACAACCATTTGTGACAAAATTAAGCTAACAAATCAACCAAAAATCGCGCAAACACTGAAAAATCAACAAGATCAGCTCTATATAACCACAATGCCTGTTAGTGAAAGTACACGCCTCCTAATAGGTATTCCTACATAACAAATAGGTTTACTCAATAAACGGAGGTAAATTGCTTTTCAAACTTAAAACCCAAAAATGATGGGAAAATCATCCAATTTGTTGACAATCAGATCAAAAACCAAAGAATGCCTCATGATGCAAACCAAATCTAAGGTTAGCCGTTAGAGTCAGTGCAGAAAAAGTAAGGAGAATGAACACAAAATATATACGATTCTCAAATCGATGCGATCCATTTGATTCCCGAGAAAAATAGGTAAAAACAAGAGAAAATGCTTCGAGATCATATACCGCTATCGCCGATCAACAGGAGCTTTATGAGGTAATCATAATCGGCTCTAGCTCTTGAAGGTGGAGCAGCCATTGACGAACTCTATGCACAGAAAACAGTGAAGAACGAAACGAACAACAAATCAGAATGTAGACAAGACACATTTTCACACTGATTCGAATTTTAAGCAAAGAAATCGAACAAATTAACCAGAAACAGAGCAAATGAACTGAGACCAGTACCGGATCGGAAATTGAACAGTTGTTTTGAGGGAGAAAAGGGAGGTTCCCGGTGCCGGAGGTCAATGGTAAGAAGCCATGGAAATGCAGAGAGTTGTCCTGTTGTTGTTTTTTTGGTTTCTATATTGGCTTTCCTCTTTAATTTTAAAATTAGAAAGAAAGAAAACATATATCGGGGCGCCTCCTACTCCAAGTATGGCGGGTTGCTAAAATGCGCGGCCTCGTCTCTCTTTAATTATTATTTTTTTTTATAAATAATGTTAAATGTGGCAAAATTTTGATTAAAATTTGGTATTAATAACTAACGACTTCGTTAGTTCAATTAAAAGGAATTCGATTTTTTTAAAATAAAATTTTTAATTTAAATTTTATGATTAAAAAAATAAACATTTTAAAAATTTTTCTTATACAAGGTCTGACCCAATTTAATTAACATCTAATATAATTTTTGAATATTGAAAATTAGTATCAAAAGATTTGGTATTAATAATGTAATATAAATTATATTATTTAAAATATTAAAAACTAAATTTTATATTATTTGATAATTAATTTTTTAAATCTATAATATTATATATAT